TCGATTGTTTTACTTTAATTCTTTATATTAAGATTAATCAGAGAAATCATATTATGTAAAAGAAATGTAATTTTATTTAAAAAATGGCTGTATCCTCCATATGACCTTGAAAAATTAATGTTTTTCGATAATTAATTTTACTGATATTTGCGTTCTTTCAAACTGTACTTTCATCTGAAATATTTTTCCAAGATATTCGATTAATTACATTAAAAATAAAATATTCTGTATATTTTTTTAGTATATAGAATTACAAATATAATTATTATTACTAATATTAAAACAGTAATAACTATAAAAATGGAGTTTTTAATCACAATTATTTTACCATGCAATTACAGTTACAAATATTAAATACTTCCCTCAATGTACATTATGATTTATATTAACTGTATTAAATTATATTTCTTGACAAAAGTATAGGGATATTTGTGACAATATAAAGCAGCAATTTTTTTTTAATTTTAATTATCAATTTGTCCATTAATTATATTAAACTAGCCGATAAGGAGGTACTTTCTTTGGATGCGACGTAGCACATTCTGTTGCTGTATACACTGCACGCTATTCATGGTTAAAGCATGCTTCGCCAGGGCTCCCAACCGGATGGGTGACTTGCCTTGTGCACCATTTGTTCATCGTCTCTTTCTATCTTCGTAACGCATGTTTCTCTGATGTTTATGTTCTTCTATCTCCGTCGCCTTTTTTCCTTACTTATTTCCTTTGAGGATTATCTCGTGCACCTTCTGCCTTTTATAAGAAGGGTGCAGTTCATCCTCGAAGGTAGAGAAAAGTGGCATCTCCACCCTGATGCAGGCTCATCTTGCAAAAGGACTAAATGTGCCAAACATTTTTTATTAGTAGTAACGTAACTTTACATTTTTCAACAATAACATAATAATATATATATGTATATAATTATATATATATATATATAATTAAATATATATATAATTTTATTTTCTGACGTACATAATAAAACATTAAAAACATTTTTTTATTAATGATATCAGAAACTTATAATCTGAGAGATTATAATTTTTAATCCACATTTAATTTACATTTATATCAATTTTTACGGAAGCAATATTAACTATTCGCGCTTTGTACGTTAAAGTTAAGTGATAGATGTCTATTTTCTAACAATGTAGATTAATTTTAATCTCGGTTCAACTTACTTTTTATTTTCTAGTTTTAAGAATTAGGTCAAAATAAAGAGGAAATTAACCTACACTGAAAAAAATATATAGTCAATTTTAATAAATATTTATTTAGTTGAATACTATCAACTAAATATTTATTAAATATAAAGATATATTTATTTGATACAAGAAATATTAATTTGATTTAACAATCATTTTTTTTATTGAACAAATATTTATTTACTGTAAGCAAATGTTTAGTTGACAGTATTGAACTAAATATTTATTAAAATTAACTATATTTTTTTCTCAGTGTAAAATTAAAATTAATTTATATCACTGTGGCAGAAATGGGCTATAGTGATTTCTTTAACAATTTTGTACATTTTCGCAAAGTATATAAATATAGCGTGAACAATTTAATATATGTTTCGTTATAATATACTGTTTTAATAATCGAGAGGATCCATATTGTAACATATTCTATATTAATTATTATAATTGGAACTCAAGTTTCGCGTGTTTTGCAAGTAGTAAATTGCTTCGCTCGAAGTGGCTATTCTCTGGATGTGATTTCGGGAAAGGATCTCTTTCTCTCTCTCTCTCTCTCTCTCTCTCTCTCTCTCTCTCTCTCCTACAGATGATATTTTCGTCTAGTGTGTAACTCGCGCGATTGCTCTTGTCTCGTAAGTAACTGCATTTAGTATAGAAGCACTCGAAAACACTGGACCGCGTAAATGCAATACCAGCTGCACCGAGGCGCCTGTGGTTGTCGTTGATGCAGTGTCACTTTGCTTTAATTATACGTCTCTGCTTTAATGGTAAATTATCCTGTAATTCGGATCAGTTGACATTCTTTTCTTATTGCAACTAATAATAAACTTAAATGAGTGGCATTTGTTCAAGAAGGAAAATCGTATTAAATCAAGAGTTGCATTGATTTTACACAGATACAACTTACAAATAAAATTATTTTTTTATAGTAATTAAATAATAAGCAAAAATGAATTTAAAATTGAAGTTAAGTTTATAGAAATATTTAGGTAATTCTTTATCGGTGAATTACGAATAATTTTTCTTAAGTTATGTAATTATTAAATGTTGAATTTTCTCTTTCAAGTGTAATTTTTTTAAGTTATGTTACGAACATAGATTTTTATATAAGATCTGTATAGTATGCATAAACAAAAATGGGAAATACAATATGTGCGATATTATTATTTACATAAAAATAATAAGTAAAAATATAAAAATACATTTTTATAGTTAGAAATAAAATTACTAATTTTTGTAAAAACACATAATTTTAAATACTACCACTAATAGTTGTATAATTTTTACACATTATTTGTATAATTTTACATATTTTTTTATGTAATAATAAAAACAGGATTTATAAAAGATTTTTTAGATTTGTAAATAGAGTTTAATAAAAGCTAGTTTAAATTAAAATTTTAAAGAATATGTGTACATAATTCTTAAAACGAAGCATTGTAAATAATCACTTATCGCATAAACAATATTTTTATTATATCATAGATTCGTTCATATTGAAGTAACACTAATAACTGTGATGTAAATATAACGATGAATGAACGTTATTAAAAATAACATTTGCATCTGGATTTTTGTGTATCGAAAATTCTGGATTGTTAAGCAAAAATTTCTACAAAGAGCTTTCCGTGCATCTGATAGAGAACTTTCTCGATAATAGTAAAGTCAGACGTAATAAAGTCGTTCATCGAGAGATTCCTATTTTTTCAGGAATATGTAGATTGCCCTTAATTTATTGCGATCGATAAGACGGGTCAGGGAACAGCTTATAGCTTAGCTTTGCAAACAGACCTTTGCCATCGCGCTGGCAAAAGATCGAGGGTTCTTTGACCGCTGAACTGAGATACAGTGCAATATTTTACAATGCTGTATTGATTTATTGATATACATAATGAAACAATGAATTTTTCATTGAAATTATTTCCATGACGAAATATATTTACTGTTAAAGATTCGACTCTAATTTATCGTTGTATTTATGACATTAAGTCTTCTAGTTGTGGCATGTTTATTCCATTATAAATGATAATGCGACGATAAAATTTAGAGAGAAGCACAGCGCATTAAGTTGCACAATATGACGAGAAAAAAAGTTGTCTGCATAATGCTTTAGTAGAACGTCTACGGTGCATACATAATGTTCCTTCTGTAATCTTTCTGACATGTATAATTACTAATTTCTAAATAAGCAGGTCTTACATACCGTTAGTGACATACGTAGATTAAACTTGTATTAGGCTTACATTCGCGAGCTACCCTCGCAGCTATGTGAGACGCGTTACGGATATGGGATGAGACCAGGAACTAATCTGATATCATATTTATATGCAAATCCGCGAATTTTTACTTCCCTCGAGGTTTAATTATTTATAGGAATGTGCGTAATTTGTTACTCGCGTTGCACATTGATTAAAAGCTGCTATATTCTATTAAGAAATAATTGGATTAATAATTTACGCTAAATTTAGTTCATGTGTGTTCCAAACAGTCTATCCAAATTTTTGTGTTAACTTAACGCAAGATGAATATGTTGGGAAGTAATACAAATATGTAAAAAATTAACATAAAAAAATGTAACAATGTCATAATTTGTAAGCAAATTATGGTAGCATATTTCTTCGATAAATTAACATTTATATTATGTTAAATTAATACGTTTTAATAAAATTAACATTTATAATTTGTTGAATTAACATTTTATTTTTTAGAATTTATATTTTGAAATATATGAATTTTATATTATTTATCCGCTCATAAATTATATTATTTTAACCTTAAGAAATTGAATGTCAATTTAACATAAAATATTCAAATGATACAATCATATTAAAATAACACTTGGATATGTCAAGAATTTAACATAAAAGTTTTAACAACGACCGATTGCAACAAAAATAAATATTGATTGTTTTTTACTGTTTAACAGAAACACGGTGATTTCCTGAACAGGACGTTTCAATGTTGCATATATCGGTGCAGCGTAATGCTTCGTGCAATTGAAATGCCAAGATAATAATCTGATAATTCACGATATAGTAAAGTAAAGATATAGATTCATAGGTCGAGTTATGTTTGCAAGTTATGCAAAGATTACATTTCCAACCATTGATTATTGGCGTGCGTGTCATGCAACGCGGATACTTTCTAACGGGTGACCTTCAAGAACGATACACTCGGTACGTTCCTAAATAGCGAAATGTTTCTCATATTTTAGGTCTTAGCTGTGACAGCGACCAGACTCAGCCGAAAAACGTACGATAAGAGATTCGCGAGTAGGTTTAAATTAGCGAGTCTAGACGCCTCGGAAATACCACGTGGTGGCAAACGTCATGCTGTATCCGCTGTCTTTGGATGTCGGATGTTCACACCTTGGCACGTCCGCCCACTGTCTCCGAACATTCGTCTAGACCTATGATAGTTTTCGAAAATAAAGTTTAGTTTGCAAAGTGAACGATCTCTGGCCACACACGAGATAATAAAGCTGCTTAATCTGTCGGCACTCGTGCTATCATAAAAAATTCAACGCATGCTGTTAATCTTGATTTACTTCTAACTATAACGTTTTTGTTTATTTCTTTATACATTTAAACAATTTATAAATAAGTTGTGAGTTCAAATGTATAATAAGCAAATTTTTTTTCTGATTATTTTGGTTTATTATTATCTCTAATTGATGATGCGTTAATTAAAAATGTTGAGAAATGTATTTATTTTACACAGAAATTATCTTTATTTTTCAATCGCTAATTATATTAATATTGAAAAGTATGCAAATTATGTAATAAAATTTTATTTCTGTTTCAGGTATGTACCTCAAAATTAGAAAAATCTCTAGTTGATCATTAATCCTCAGCACTGTAAGTTACATAATATTTAAATATATCATTTCGTAAAATAATAGCTGTATCTTCATCTTTTGAATTATGATGGACACACTATATTTACGTCATCGTTTCACGTTTCTCCATTGCACTACTGTCTCGTATATTCGCCACACCCACGATTGTTACTTTCACATATGCTATATATGATCTCCGGATTTATGTGACTTCATGCGTACGCATTTAAGAAAACGTGTGAAACTAACTGTCACCTGATAACGTTAGCTTGTCATTCATCATAGTTTATAACTGCAAACATGATTCAATGGCTACGTTTACACCATGCGCTTAGTCCGCGACCTATAGGTGTCTTTGTTTAACTTACAGAATAAACAAGGATAAACATCTATTGTATAGCGGTCTAAATGAATGGTGTAAACGTAAATCGTCGTAATAATTGAATACAGCAGACAAGAGAATTAGAATTGGAAATTTAAAAATTAAACCAGCTATATATATAATGATAATAAGCTGTAAAAAAAGTTATAATCATGTATCGATTTATATATAGAAACGAGAAGTCGCTTCTAATTTTTAAATCCATGTAGAATTTAAGAAACGATAGCGAATTACAAAAAACGAAACACGAAATTTTAAAGCGATACATGTTTATAGACATGTTTAATGTCATGACAAACTTTGGCATTGTAATTCGGGGATTTTACCATCTATAGTATGATAGTCCCCATTGTATCTAATGGAAAATCCGCCACTGATTTATGTATTAGCGCATCAGTAGGTAGCTACAGCTCCCTACGGCTGCACCGACATTCCACCGAAGATAGATGATCGTACAGTTATAGTGTCTCAGGTAGCCAAGCGAAACTATCAATACATAGGTAGAAAATCCAGGACTAGAATACAATAGATACAGAAAGCGTCATATTAGGAGGATTATGGGAAATTAAAAGGGGTTAGAGTTAACCAAATATTTAAAATAATACGTATATATATATATATATATATATATAGATATATTTATTTTATTTATCATGTTATATAATTTAGAAAAAAATTTACAATTATCTGCGCGCACACATTACAGCCTTTGCCATAAATATAAAGCATTGTCACTTGGAAAAGGCAATAAAAGTCAAAGCCTTCAAAAGAAAATTAACAAAATATTGATATAAATATTATTTTTCAATGAGTGTTTTTAATTTATTTTTCGTTAAATATACATAGAATACTTAACGTAAATTTTTGGGAGTGCTTTATACTTATCAAAGTTGTAGAATTTTTATCTTAAGTATTTAAATGACGATTATACTCTTAGTGAAAAAAATTCTCATTTATCTTATAATATTTTTAAGCATCTTGTCATACTTTAAGTTTATGAAGATTTCTGAAAAAGTTTAAACTTTAACTTTAAATTTCTTCAGATTTTACAAGTTTAAAAAAACAAAGAAATTATAGAATAAGAAATCTTAAAATAATTCAGAATTTATATATATATATATAATTCTATATAGAAAAGATGTAATTCACAGAATTGTTAGCGATCAAGGAAATCAGGAAAAACTGGGAAAAGTTAGAGGAGTTAAAAAATGATCAGAGAGAACCGGAAAAACTGGAAAGTCAAGAATTCAAGGAATTTATCAACCTAAGATAAAAAATTAAATTCTAATACCAATTCTAAGTTTAAACTTTATTTCTTTAAAAATGATTAAATAGAATTTTATCAATTTTTTAAAGTAGCATTGTAAATATTTTTTACGATTTTTAATTTTACAGTGAGCAATTTATGGAAAATTATTAGCACATAATTGTTAAAAAGAAAAAAACTTTAGAAAATTTAGGATACGTATAATAACATCTCGTAAATCATTTAAATAATTAAAATTAATAATTGGAACGTACAGTGTTTTAGTGAGATGATTAAATCTTAATAAGCAATGCGCAAACAAAGATAAAATAAGTTATTTTACGTAATTTATTTGTTTTTTAATTCATTGCAAACCAGTATTGTTATTTATGTTTGCAACTTGTTTTCTGTGGTAAAGAATTCTTTGAATATTACGAAAAGTTTTATATTATGTTTATGGTCGGTTTTTAACACAAGAAATATTTTTAATTAATTTGTAATTATAATGTTGCTTTAATTCGTGTTTGTAGATATATAAAAAAATTTTTTTTATACTAAAATTTCACATGATATTTTATATTCTCTTAATAATATTCATAATTTTCGAAAATGTTGAAAATGAAAAAATCCATTAGTTATTTTCGAATTATTTAATTCCTAGACCGGTATTCATAGTCGATTCTTATCTTTAGGATCGTCTTAAGTAATCTTAAAATGATCATAAACTAACATAAATCAATCAGAGAGTCTTAGCATTTCCTAACATTACTTAAGATGGTCTCGAAATAAGAACCGACTATGAATATTTGCCCTAAATCTTGAGATAAATAGATAAAAAGAATATGGATCCGATATCTTTTGATCTATAGCAAAAGCCCATTAAAATCAGTGCTAGATAATTTCAACGGTATTATCTACAGAAATTTTAAAATTCACCTATGTATACTTACATATAAAAAATTTTAGAAAAAATATAACAAATTTTCTCAAAATTCTTTTCTGAAAATGTTCCTAATTGCTATAAAAAAAAATAAATCTCTTTAAAAAGAAAAATTTTCTTAAAAAGTATACTCGTACAGAAATTGTAGAAAATTGTGAAATTTATGTAAAAATTCTGAAAAACCGTATGAAGAATTCCGAGAGAAATTTTCATTAGAGACAGCTTAAAATACGATAAGGACCGTACCGTCCGAGTTTTTCACATAGTCGCGATCGTTAGCGTCCCGGGTGTGATACGAGATGTAACGCACGACAAGCCTGGACAAGCCGGCGTGCGAGCGGTGCGAGCAACACGTTAATTGGGCGAGAGTTACGGCAAACGTACTATAAACCTTCTCCGTACCCCTCATTGCGTCTCATCGTCAACCCAGATCTTCGGCCGGACTCGGTTCGGCGCGGCAGAGCCGGCTGCTGCCGTCAGTGCCGTCGCCGTCTCGTGCTCGCTGGCGGTTGTTCCGGACACGAGAAGGCGCTTCGGTCGCATGGCCGCCCTCAGTACTCGCGAGCCTCGCTCGGTGTGTGTTTCGTGGTGTGCTTGTCGTCGCTGTGATTGTCGTTCCCAGTTCTCCTCGGCCGTCTGTCCCGCATGTCGGCCGTTCTCAGCGACGCTCGTAATTAATTCCGTTCGCGAAATCCGTCCCGCCTGAATGCAACGGCTGTCTCATCGCGATCCCTCCGCCGTCGCGGACAATAATCTCTCGTTCTCTCTCTCTCTCTCTCACTTCTCTTTCTCTTTCACTCTCGCGTGGACAGGAGGAGGAAGAGGCGGCGGTAGCGACGGCGGCGGCGGCGGCGGCGGCGTCGTCCGTTGAGTTCGTGTCGCTCGGGCGGCGCGTATCCGTGTGTCAGTGTGCGTGAACAGTGCGTGGTGTATACAGCAGCAGCATCATCGGTGCCGTCGACGACGAGGAAGATCGCTAGGGATCGCCATCACTCCGGTTTCCACAGACGTTTCCTTCCCATCCGCGTGGACTCCTCGCGGCGGCGGCGACGGTGGTGGGGAATTTTTCACATTTGGAGTTCGGAGTACTACGCGCGCCGCTCCCCCGTGTGTTTACGATCGTTGCGTCCTCTCTATCGCTGTCTCGCTCTCCTCTCACCTGCGCTCCTCGCTCGCCTGGCGCGCGGACAGGTGTCGCGTGGAAGCCGAACGTAGGAGAGAGCCGACGCCTGGTTCCGATCTCTGTGATATTAAACGTCGGGTGGCCCTTCGCCGGTGGTCACGACGGCTCTTCCTCGAAATCCTGCCGAGATAAAACGAGCCCTCCACTGCCCGTGTCGTCGTCGTCGTCTTTCATCGTCGACGACTGCCAAAGAGTACGTATTTTCCACGGTAAACGAAATCATCTCGCGCAGCAGTTCCGCGTCCTTCCTCGTCGCCGTATCCATTCTTTCGTTACGTTCGTCCGTGTGTCTGCCGCGTGTATATATATATATATATATATGTGTGTACGTGTGTGTGTGTGTGTGTGTGTGTGTGTGTGTGACGAGGCGAGGAAAATTGTTTACGCCTACGACAGTTACAACATGCCCTCGTATCGCGGATGACGGTTGTCCTTGGAGGTTAGTCAGTCGGTCGTGCGAGCAGTGAATGGACGCTTCTTTACGACGTGAGACGCTCTCCGAACGACGACGTTTCCTTGCGTTCGGTGGGAAAATTGTTCCGTGAATAAAAAAAGTCGCGATTGTAACGGTCGTGTTAAACGCACACGAGCGTCCAATGAACGTTGCTGTCGGTGGAAATTTCCGATCGCACTCGTTAGAATCGTTCTGCGACGGAGTTAGATTCTTTGACGGAGTGCAGTTAATGATCTGTTGAATGTCGTAGGAAAAGACGGACAGATCTTGCGAAAGAGAGAAAATTTGTTTTTCTTCGTATCGAAGTGACTTATTTCTGTGCGAGCGATCTTCCGACGCCGGGGCGTGGTTAATTAGTTAAACTTGATAATCGAAACGGTTTGTTAGTTTCAAGTGTGTTAATATAATTGTAAAGAAGGATGCAACTTTTTTCACTTTGTTTTATTTCGATATTTTTCATGGAAACCGAAATTATCATAATAATGACGCTCGAGGAAAAATTGGGATGTTGAAATAAAATTAAAATCCTCATTCGCATCTTTACATTAATTGTAAGAGAAAAATGTGCTAAACTTTGATAAATAATTATTAGAATTAATATAACATTGATTTACAGAAAATAAATATTTGCTAAATGAAAAATGTAATAGTTAAAAAATATAATCCAATTAATACTTCTTGGACCAAATAAATATATATATAAATATATATTTGATAAGTATTCAACTAGCACTATTTAATCAAATATTTATTAAAATTTAGTACATTCTTTTCTCAGTGTATAAAATCGCTGTCAGTTATACTTCAGTCCTTTACAAAAACTAATTTAGAGTTGTAGATCCAACTATGAATTAATTTTTAAATTGAACTAACTGACAGCGTCTAACTGACAGCGATTTCGTAACTACGTGAATAGGATTTTATTCTTTATTTCAACATTTCTTTGAGAGTAGCGTCATTATTATAATAATTTTCAGTTTTATAAAGAAAGATAAGAAATATAAAATCTAAACATAATGGGATCTCTGAATGAAACGGTCGCAAAGAAGTTGTATCCTCCTTTACATGAACATTTTGTTTGATTCTAGTTCCTTTTTTTATTCCTTTTGAATTTTAGGTTCAGACTAATTATAATTATGCTTTTAAACGTAATAATATGATATATTTTACGTAAACAGATTTTTATATTTATAAAATAACATTATATAAATTAGGGCTTTATTTCAATGCAGTTTATTTAAAAATAATACAATGGAGTGGAACTAATAATCTGTTGAATATCGTAGAAAAAGTAACAGGATGTACTGAGAGAAAAATGTACTAAATTTTAATAAATATTTATTTGAATAGTTCTAGTTTGAATATTTACTAAATATTAATATATGTTTATTTGATACGAGAATCATTAATTTAATTTATTGTTTTTTTTTTATTTAGCAAATTGTCTGTTGTAAATAAATATTATATTAGTACTATTTAAATAATTATTTTATTACTTATTGAACCAATTATTTATTAAATTTTAATAGATTTTTTCTCTCTTACTGAATATATATAAATTTGTGCTTTATTTTAATATAATTTAATTAAAGATGACAGGAGCACGTATATACGTATATTTATTTATATTAACGTTAAACAATAAGTGACTAAAAGACGAATCGATTTCTATTTTCACACTTCCATGCGCTGAATAAAATTATTTATCCCATTTCACGTTTTTCGCGTTTCATTAAAATGTCCAGCCGACTGGTCCTTCGAAATAATTTTATCGTTCATAAATCTGTCCGTAAATCAAGCTGAAGTAATTAAATATCGATGACCGGCATTTCATATCATGTCGGAAAGCAGGCGTTTCGATATTCTCCGCAAAATACGGAACAGTACGATCCAATCTATCGCCGGATGCGCCGCGAGCCTCAGAAAATTCTTTTCATTTCCGTCGAGCTGCGCATAGAAAATTTTCTCCAGCCTTGATCCGTATCTCATAAAATTCTCGGGCGAGATAAGGACTCGGTCGATGGAGAATTAGGGAAGAAAGGATAGAACGAAGGAAACAAATTCTTTTTGCGGTTCGTCATGAAACGTATCGATCTTCTGATTTACTAGTTTGTTAATTTTTCCATTTACTTTAGTCGCTTCTAAAGTAATATAAATTATCACAGGCTCTCACACACACACACCATTAACCCTTCATTACTTGTTTATTTGGGTATCCAGAATATACTCCAGCTTATAAAATTGTTTCACAATTAAAAAGAAATTTTACACTTATCTTTATCTGAAGGATAGAATATTATCTGCATGGAAAAGACAGGTTTATTTATTTACAAAAATGGATACAGATCCGAAAATAATTTTGCTGGACCATTCAAATAATTATATAAGATTATATACACTTAAACAGGTTATTAGAACGTCAAAACTTTTTGCAATATTATCATCAAGTTTAAGCGTCTTATATATAATTATTTTGGTCCAGTTATTAAAATTATTTTTATAGATCTAAATTTTTAAATACATCAGTAAAATTATTCTTTCCATGTGAAGAATAGAATGTATTATTAGATACAGAATAAATTTTTATTTAATTATAAATTGTCAAAGAGAATAATAAAAATTAAGATGTAATTAATTACAAGGTCAAAAAACCTAACGCGAGTAATGTAGAGTTAATAATTATGGCATTTTCGTCATTTATTTTAACAGAATCAAAATTTAATCTGCATAAAAAGTTGATCTTTGAACGTTATAATCAGCATGTTTTTAAAAAAGATCTAACTTGTTGTATAATCATCGGTTGCCTGCGAGCGGATACAATGCGTGCTATTCATGACGACCGGGGCAGTGGCTTAACTTTTCCTCATTCGTTAATGCGCAGGGACGCGATTCTCCTCCAGTCATCAACGTCGTCAGTCACTCTCACGGTTCTCCGTACGAGTTATTTTCCATGGTATACGTGCCAATCGTGTGTGGAATTCCTTTGTAAATAGCCAACGATTCTCCATGAAGCCAGTTTCGATTTAAATGACTTTTCGTACGTCCGTCTACTCTGAATCCTGTGCCATAATCTCGATAAGAATAAAGTCGCCTTTCGCATCAAGAAAAGAAATCTCTCTGTCTGGAAGAAGACGGTGCAAGATAATTGACTCGACGTCTGTAATCAAGGCTGGCGATAACGAGTGCGTCATTCGTTCGATATATAATAATAACAACAACCACGCGGTTAAACGAAGCTCGAGAGATCACGCTCCAACTCAACGTACAAGTTTACAAGTGGAGGCTGAAACATCTCTCGGAATAAATATTGTCTCTTTGTCGCTCCGCGATGTTCAGATGAACGCACGCCCGGGAATAATCGATAATTCTCGATAGTTGATCGAGAACGACGATTGGGTGATCCCGAGGTATCTCGAGGATCATTATCGTCGTCACGGGATCGCGTGAGGAGAAGAGCTTGAGCACGTGGGAGCCGCGCGAATCTCATCGTCGGAGCCGTGGAGCCGCGAACGAGAAGTGGTGAACGACGACGACGCGAGCCGCCGATCCCACGAGCAGGTGCACACCGGGATGCGCGCCGCGTTGACAGGGACCACCCGGTAGCTCCGTTGCCGGCATTCGTAGCGATCCTCAGTCCGTGGCGCCGAAAGAGACGGGGTCGCTGCAAGGATCGGGCCCCGAACGCGATGTCCATACGCGTGAGTGGCGTCTACCTGGTGCCTACCAGCCCGGGCAATGACAACGGCGGCAATGACAAGACCGGCGTGGACGGCAGTTTGCATCATCAACAGCAGCACCATCATCATCACCACCATCATTCGACGACGAAAACGGTGACGATCGTGACGGCGCCGCAGCGCAGTAATAGTTTGGATTACCTCAACTTCGAGGAGAAGAGACAGATCATCGCGTCGTCTTTGTCTCTGAGTGACTTTTTGGCGCATGGACCGGCGGCAGCTGCGGCTGCTGCCAAGGAGGTGGCGGCGAACACGGTGATCGGTGAGTCTTTCTTCGCAATTAGTGAACGTATCGACTTTTGAGGGCGTTCGCGTAACGAAAAGTCGCGTAATCATTCATGCTGTGCGTGCGGCTATATTAATCTTTAAAATTTAAATAGATAGATAGTTTACAGGGTGATAACAAAATTTGATCACAAAGAGTTTTGTCTCTATTAAATTAATAACTGTTATTTAACGATTTAAAAATTGATTTATAGCATTTGCTGTGATTTTTTTTAATCCTTTATTTTAACGACAAATAATGTTCAGCTTATTACCTGGGTAATGATTTGATAAACATTCAAATCTTTGTCGAAGATGTGATTTTTGGTCACGTAAAAATACGCAAAAAGATGTATTGTAAGTTTAACTACATATAACGTATAATATGCTTGTAAAAAATATAATTATAAAATAAATTTTTTTTTAGATGAAACATCTCGAAAAATCTTTAGTTTTATAATTATATGTTTATAGTGTACAATATCTTATAGTTAAATTTACATTATATTTTTTTGGTGACGGAGGAGTGTAAAAATTCTTCTGGACATTTGGGTGCTTTTTATTTTCCTTTTCTAAAACAAGATTTTAAAGAAAACTATATCTGAGTGCTGCAATCTCATCTATCTACTTAGAGATTAATAATGTAGAAGGATGAACTATGAAATAATTGACGTGATCATTTTCTTTGCAGATAATTAGGTACTCGCTCTTGTCAATAACGCTTCGAGAAGAAATTAATAATCTTAGAGAATTATTACTAGAATATAATTTCTAGCAACTATCATTAGCAATTAATGATGATTTCCATGTATAAAATTAAAGAATAGCGTTATGTAAAGAGATGTTAGTGTAATTATATTGAAGAGCATTCCTGTCATTGGTTGCTTCATGTGTTAGTTAGATGGATTGAACAATCAGATAAGGTATTCTTTTCGATCCAGTTTTGTGATATTCCATTATAATATGAACATTTGCATTTCTCTATGGTCATGTTAAATCTGCCACGTTTTGTTTCTATCCTATGATAATGATATTGGAGATAATTATCGTGTTAAGGCTTTGCACTGCGCATCGAATTTATATTTTAACGAACGCAAACTTGGAATATTTAAATATTATTGCGTTATAAATGTGTATATTCCAATAATAGATTATTCTAAAATAATGCTCATATTTTACTGCGTTTAATTACAATTAAAGCATATATAAATATCTATAATTTAACATAATAACAGTTTAACGTAATTTTCTTTCTGGAAAATTAAAAAATTTCTAAAATAAAATTTTTAAAAGGGGAGGGGATTTAATCTTTTCCCGATATCTTATACATCATATACTGACTCATTGTCAGTTTTATCAATGGGAGCGCAAACATGAAGTTCGCAAAAACCACGCAGTGAGCGTTTTCAATGAACTTCAAAGCGAACTTTATCGCTCCATGCCACTCGATCGATTCTTACGCAAGTCTGCACTTTATCGCTTCGATCCATAGCACCAATTGTGTCCAAATAAACTAACGAGTATTATGGCATAAATAGAGTCTCCTATACTGAGAGAATAGTTGGTTGGTTGTTATTTGTTATCATAATTATATGATAATTAGAAACTTCATTTTTATAATTATGTTACTATAATAATTCTAGCAATGAATATATATAATTATATTTATAGTTTTATATTAAAAAATATGTAATTGGTATCGAAAACGACTACAAATTGTAATCATACTTTGTATATACATATGTATTTTTTTTGTATATAGAACCATGAATATAATTATATTATCACTAACTCTACAGCAGTAACTACTACAAAAATGGAATTCTTACATACAAAAAAATAAATTCTTGTTTTGTGTACATAATAATGAATCTTTCTAAAATTTGTAATAAATATTTTAAAGTTATTATCAAGAAGATATTCTTTGTTAAAGATAATTTTTACTTATAAGAAAGAAAGTAAATGGAGTAATTACTTTTCTTAGCAATAGAATGATATTTTTATGTACATACATATACGTGATAAATTTCGATAGGGAAGTTTCGATAAAGGGTCGTCAGCATTCATGGCGAGAGGGTTAACAGGTGATGACGAGGCGCATCCGCCGCCACCGCGTTTCGATTACCTAGACGATAATTGCCGGCGATTCGTTTCCACTGTCGACGATTGCGTGATTTACGAGTGACGCGAGAGGCTGAGAATCGGTATAGGCGCCGACGCCATCATCAGTCGTGTGCGATCCCGGCTTCATCTTCAGGCCGGTGCGGCCAGAATGTTGAAGCAGCAGTGAATTGAGGTAATCGACACGGGCGAAGGGTAAAGCACATCGAGAGAAAAGAGTGTAAGCGGGGGCGATAGTCCAGCAAGGAGGACGAAGGGAACAGACGGAGGTAGAAACGTGAGGCGCGCGTTGTACGCAAGGTGGAAAGCTACCTTGCCGTCTCACTTCAATTCCGAGTCAAGGAACTCCGGTAGCGAGAGGCACCGCCTTGTAAACAAACCTCGCGTGCGTAGCGTGCGTGGCATGCGTGCGTACGGTGCATCGACCACCTACACGGTGTCCCAGGCGAAATGGTCAATATCGTTAGGGAGGCGATAGCGAACTTAAACACTGAGATATTCTTCTCCTTAAACATCCTATATATCCGAGAATTTTCCTATATATCCTCCTTTCTCTCTGGGATTCTCGTCTATCGCGGTCTATCTCGCGAGGTCGTCGGTCGTTGTGGGTAAAAAGGGACAAAGGGAGGCGTTACAGCATGGCGCCACCGGTAGTCTGCTTTTCCTTTCTCTTCTCTTTCCCGTGTGTGTGTACGCGAATGCACTGCCCTTATTATCTCATAGAGATAATGTTTTATCCGTAACCCTTTGGAAACAATGCGGGAAATCGCGAAGAGGGAATGGAGGATAGAGAAGGAAGTACTGTATAATTTTACTATATAATACTGTATAAAATTAATACTTGACATACATTTATTGAAGAAGATTAAAATATTATTAAAATATTATCATAAATATGGAAAATTACGTATGCATAATAGAAAATATCATTATAGACAATGCTTTGGCTAATGATTCCATTATCCTATAATTATTATTAATCCAAGTTTGTACAATATAATACGCTTCACGTTTATACATTTGTATCATGCAGGAAGCTAATAGCAATAAATCTCTGCATCGGCTCTCCCAATATCTCAATCCTTAATACGATCCTATTACGATGTTACTGCAGCCGATAAGAAACGCGTGTGATTTTTTTCAGGCCAGAGCTGTCAGATCAAATATTATCATACGGTTTCGAGATCAATATTTGCTTCGTCCATTAGGCGAGATAATTAATCGATAATAGTAAAGTTTAATGAACTTGTAAAAGTATCAGTCATTCGCTGATGTTACGCAAAATGGAGTATAAATAATTACATTTCGAGAATAGAAGCTAAAAATATAATTGTATTTTGTTATAATTCTTTCTACAACTTGATATAAAAGATTATTATACAAAATAGACTAATGAGATGATCAAACATCATCATTAATATATTAATCTAATTAATATGTTAATTCAAATAGAAATTATTTAAATTATAAAAATCAAGAGAAATTTAAAAGCTTAAATTTATTGAAAGCTTCAATAAAAGATTTTTTATTCTCTATTTAAAAAATTATTAGGTGTTGGAATTAATTCGTAGCGTTTTACAAGTGATGGGAAGTACTTTCATTAATGTATTTTTTAATGCTCATGTGAAATAAATAACATTCTTTCATTAAAAAACGCTACGAATTAATTCCAACACCTAATATTTTTACAGTTACAATTATACCGTGAAAATTAGGCAAAATATACCAAGCAAGTTAAAACATTTGTTTTTCTATTTAGAAGAATTTATAACTACATATTCTATAATAATTCCATTCATGTGTAGCTGAATTTTCTTTTTTGTTGTAACTTATTGTTAAGATTTTTTCCAAACTCTTACAAATTCAGTTTCCTCGACTGGATTTTAATTGGTCTTTCGAGCATGACAGACACGCGTCTAAGCCCTTTCACCTTTTTTTTTTGCTTCTCCACTGAGAATTTCCTCGAGGCGCATCGCTGCGTGCTTCGCGACTGAGTATCAACGGCGACCGCGCCTATACTGCATTGTAGCTGAATCACGTGCTCATTCCACAGCGTGATGATCAATCATTCCCGTACATTTGATACACGACACGATTTGATAACTACGGAGAAAAGAAACTCGATAATCGAGACGTTGGTTTTTGTCTACAGCTCTTTCATAGCTGAATGTACTGTAAAGCAAATTCAACGTAAATGTTGCACGTAGAGAGAGCGTGATTCTGCTCTTTAATAACTGATTAAAGTTGTTCCTATATCCATTATTAAAATCCATTATTAAACCAACGTTTCATGAACCTTGCAGTTCATTTCATTAAGGTGAGAAGCAGTAGCCTGATATTGAGTTGCTTCTCCGAAAGATTTCCTTTATATAATATTGTGTATGGTGTCCTGTTTTAAACAGATTGCTTCCCTTTATATACTCTCTAAATTCTTTGAAGTGCAATTTCACAAGAGTGAAAATTGAACCAATTTTGGAAGAGTAGCTCAATTTTCAATCTTCAAGAGTGAAATTTCACTCTTTAAAGTGACAATTCACTTTAAAAGTTTTAGAGAGTACATTGTTTAAAATGGCATATATAAAGAAGATCCTTCGGAGGAGTAGCTCAGTATCAAATTGCTCTTCACCCTGTTGAAGTGATGTAACCCTATAATGTTTACGAAATGTTTATGTTAAAGTAATGGATCTGAACACGAAGATAATCAGCGAAATGCATAGCTTCTGTATGGAAAATACTCGTGGAAGTCTCAAAAATGTTGAATGATTAAATTTTCCTTTTTATACCATAGTCAGTATCAGAATCTAGAAAGAGACTGGGAACGAATTAAATTGCAAACGTAATTAGTCGGCGTTGGTAAAACCGGTCCTTGATTCGCTG